CCTGCTGCTGACAGCTGATAGTACAGTGAGGCTAGGGCATGCTTTCCCTGAGGAAACCCAATGAACTCCACGGGCAACACCAAAAGTTAACTCTCAGATAAGTTTTAAAAGCCCCTAGAGGTTTACACAATGATTTAAAAGGTAGAACCTACTTCTTAATAATCTGCAACCGCGTTGTATGTGGTATAGTTCATACAAATAGTATCCCAATCTGTTTCACAAAATTTTCGTGATAGTTGTCACCATAATGGATTAGGGGCATATAACAAGGGATATATAATCAGATTAGCTTAGTTTCAAAGAGGGCTGACAGAAAACCGAACACGTCCTGTCATGTATAATCATATCTGAAGTTGATTTATTAGCAAATAAAATATGAAGAAATAAAAACAGTTTTAGGAGAGACCTTAAGTTATGTTAAGAAAAAAAAAAGGTAGAAAATAAGTCCGTTAAAAGGAAAGTGCTGTTCATAGTGACAGCTGCACTTGAAAGAAGGTGGCTCTTCAGGTGGAATGATGAGGGCCTTTTCTTAGAAGGCTGCTTTAGAGCAGGCAATAACCGTGGCGGTACAGAAGAGACACATTATTAAACGTAGCATTGCTGTTACCTGAACTATAGTTGTTGGCTGCAGTTATGGAATAAAGCCTGTGGTTACATTAAAAAAAAAAAAAAAGAAGAAAAAAAAAAGAGCTCAAGTGGTGCATAGAACCTTCAATTAAAAAAAAAAAAAAAGGAACATACAATAGACTGAAGAAGAGGAGAGATGTGTTTCTGCCAAAATAAGAAAATGAAACTCTTAACATGTTTCAGCTAATAACCTAGATGGTATTCTGAGGTAAATAGAGGAACAGATTGACAGTGTTGGACAGATGAAACGTAGCCTAAACACCATCTCGGTGCCCTATTTGTGGGGCTACTCAACCCTTAGTGAGATAACTACTAAAAATATGTGTGTTTCAGTTCTGAACTCAGATCCCTGCACACAGATCTGGAAGGTGTATTCTTCTGTCAAATCCCATG